CCTTCCTTCCTTTTGCCATCTTCCGAAATCGCCAGGAACTGAGAATCAGCACGAAAATGGCAAACATGTGGCAAGGCCAACACAGGTGGGTTGGCGTTTCGGCCAAGGACTCCCGCAATCGAGTTAACCGGCGACTATAAATAGCCAAGCATCGGGCATGCATGCAAATGGTCAAGCAAAAACAAAAAGAAGCGAGAAAAAAGACGAGCGCTAAAAACGGATTCCACTCATCAATAATGCATTCCGCATCGGAACAGATACAATCGCAGATTGAGCTACGAAGCAGCAGCAGCAGGAGCAGGATTGAGAAGTGGCAAGGACGAAACGAGAGCCTGGCATGGATACGTCAACTAATCTGCTGGCACTTTCGATTGCGACCTCAGGTCGACCCTCTGCAGCTCTCGCTTTCCTCGGCTGAGTGCCGCCAGGACATAATCGCTTGTTGATCCTTTATAAATACCAGGACAGGGACAGGGACAGGGACAGCAGCTGCCGCAACATCTGAGGCAACTCGACTGGAGTGACGTGGAGTGGGTTCAATGGGTGTCAGCGAGCCAGCGTGCCAGCGGGTGACATAATCAAATCAATAATTTATGAGTCCACTTTCCTGTAAGCGGATTTACATTGGCCAACACTTGGCCGGGCTCCCTCAGGGGATCAGAAACTTTTTCGCCACTCCGGAATCAGAAACTGATATCAATTAGGTTGAGAGTGATAAGTTCTTTTGGCTGTTTGTTTGTCTATTTGGCTAACTTTTGACTGCTTTAGAGGAGTGAGACTATGGGGCTAAGTCTTTGTGAGACTGATGCTGCGCACACTCTGTTCCACAATGCCGGGAAAAAGTGTCCAGCCACCACTAGAAAAGGATAACAGGACCAGCAGCAAGGACAGCAGTACACCAGGCTGTTACTGTGAGGGGAAATAATTGCAAAACAAACAAAAGAAAAACGCGCCCAAAGCGAAAAATCATAAAAACTGTCGCTGCTTAGCTGCTCACTTTGCGATGCCATTTGTACATCATCCAACGGCAGCGACGTAGCAGCGGAAAAGCAGAGGAAATCAGGAAAGGCAGCACACCAGCAGAGCAGCTACAATCTCAGCAGAGGGCTGGGGTACTTCTTGGAGGAAAATCAGCCAGGAAAAGCCGGTCCAGTCGATTGCTTTTGTTAGATTGCCAAAAGGGAATGTAGAATTTGAAATTGAATTAAAATGTCCAAAAGGGATGGGAAATGTGCAGAATTATCCATATGAAATGGTTCTGAATCACTTAGACTACATTATCCTGCAGGCACCCTGTTTGGCCACTAAACGATTTGACTAATCTGGCGCCTTTTCTGCGCACTTTTTGTCCTGTTTAGGAATATATCCTGTCGTGGAAAGACAGCCACCGTTATGATTACAATGACCCCCATGATCCCGACCAGCAGCATCCGTGTGTGTCATTCCAGTCTCAGTCCCAGTCCCTATCCCTTGTACATGTCCTATTTTCCCCCCTTGTCCTTTGAACAGTGCCACGTTGTTGGCAAATGCTTAGCGGTAAATTTTGTCCTGCACAGAGGAGCGAGTATGAGTTCGAGATTGGGCCAGGAGCTGGGCTGGGATGAGGTAAAAGGGGGCAGTCAACCAACCAGTTAGCAGACCGGCTCCTGGCAGTGGTTGCTATCTGTGTCTGAGGACGCACAGAGCTCCTCAATCCCCTCCTCTTTCATCAGAGGAAGGCCCGCAGTTTAAAGTTCCATTCCTGTACCCGATCCCTTTCCAAATCCGAATGCCTGATATGCCAACGTTTTCCCTGGGCCTTGTTGACGGCACATTCAAATATCCACAACAGATGCGATGACAGGTCCTGGCTCCCCTTCCTCCTCCTCTTCGGCTGTGGGACAATGCGGCGTATGATTATTCGAGTGCTAATGTGAGGGAAGTCGTCGCTTTTCGGCTGGTTTGTGGTCTCGGTTAGTTCTTTGTGTCCTCTGTGAGGGGCAGCCGCAGACTCTGGTGCCTGCTGGGTTTAAAGTACAAAAAACAAAAAATGCTGGCCAGGCACACGTAGCAGATGCTACAACAACAACAATCCGTCTAGTCGCCGGAAGTTGACCAATTGAGTGCTCAGCAATCAGAAATCAGGACTTCTAAGGCATTGAGAAATCGTAGGAAACAGAGTAGGGGTAATACATAGCTTTGATATACTCAATTGACATTATCGTTGATTTTGAATGGAAAGTTCAAGCAAATACATTAAACCCACCTAACTATCGCCTATAATCAACTAGCTCTTTCACTAAAACGATCTGCCGGCAAGCAAAAGCTCTGTTAGACAAAGGCATTCATCATACGCCACGTTGGCCGCAACCCTTTCGCATGGCTGATGGTGTGGCATGCCACGTATGTGGGGCACAACCCACAACACACAACACGCAACAATGCAAACTGCAAATACCAGCTGACTGCCTGGGGGGATACAGTAAATAGTCGATTTATTAGAGAATTTATAACGAAAATAAAGTTGATAACAATAAAACTAGATAAATATATTAAAATCTTAGAGCAATTAAAATATATGTACTTTAGAGTCAAGTTTTCATTTATAAAGGCTTTTTTATTCTTGGAAGCATTCACTGTAATCCGCTTCTGTTGAGATATTTTATAATGACTTTTATTCTTTTATATTATCGAGTAACCACTAAACTTTCATATATTTATTTTAGCGATTTATCGTAGAAAATATTTTGTTCTGCTTATTGAAATTCAAACGGGATAAACAGAGGCTGCCCTTTCTAGTCCACAGCCTCCATTTACTTCCCTGGGGCACAACTACAAATAGTTGGTGAGTTGGTGGAAAGTGGCAGAAGCGACCGACTTGCCGCTGGCCAAAGCAAATATAGTACCAACAAATGCCAGCCAGCAAGAGCTAACAGTCGAAACTTGGCCCGAAGTCTGAGAGTCTTTGCCACTAGGAGAAAAAATTATAAAGAAATCAAATGAAGAAATTTAAAAACTTTCCTTCTGAAAATCAGGAAATTAATATTCTTCTTCTGATGCAAATTCAAAAGAAGATTTCATATAGAATGCAAGAGTATCTTTAAGATGCAAAAGTAACTTTCAACTGTTAAAATAACTTTCAGATGCAACTTTAAAAGTATTTTAGTATCTTTTAGATGCATTAGTAGTTGTCCAATGTCTAAATATCTTTCAGATGCAATTTTATATGTATTTTTTGAATGCTTCAGTATCTTTTAGATGCAAAAGTAACTTTCAACTGATTATTTAACTTTCAAATGCAATTTTAAACGAATTTTTGAAATGCAAGTGTATCTTATAAGTGCAAAAGGACTTTTAAGATGCATTGGTATCCTACAGATGCAAGAATGCCTTTTAACTTTATCGTTAAAGTCATTTTCAGATGCAAAAGTATCTTTGAAACATACTAGAATTTCTTAAATGCAAAAGTATCTTTCAGATACATTTTCTTTATATCAACCCTTGTAGTACGCAGAACACCCTTGACTTTGTTTTAAGTGTACTTCTCGCAGATGGTGCTGTAACTACTGCTGATGCCACTGCCCTGCAGCGACCGCAACGCCTCCTGCCGCAACTTTTGCTGCCACACTATAAATATAACATTAATTTTTATGTTTTCATATTTAGCATCGCTTCGCTGGGCTCACACACCCCAAAGCACTAGTACACACACACACATGCACACACATACGCACGCATACACTCATAAAGATATGGCCATTGAATGACGTTTATGAGCGATATCGCCAACGTCGACGCAACATGCTCTGTTAAGCGCTGTACAGAGCTTTAACAGTCCAGCATCCACAAACTGTTAGTGCGAAAAAACACTGTTAAATGCGCGGCTGCGACTGCAACGTCAGCAGAGGCAGCGACAGCGGCAGAGCGGCTTGAACAGAGGCAGCGACTTCTATTGTCATTTGGCACATGTGAAATTTACCGTTACTTCTTCGCTCATTCATTCGCTGTTTACATTCCGATTCGAAGACTTTTCCCAATTCGAGCGCGACTTTCGAAAACGGATTCCATTTGAATATCGATAGGGTTTTAACCACTGTTGTTGTTATTATATTGCAGTAATTATAACAGTGTTTTACTGTTAAAATAGTAAAATGATCGTTTGTGGTTTCGACTTCGAAAATGTGTAAAATGTTTGTTTAATTTATAAATGATATTATAAAAGATGTGTGAAATATAAAACCAAAACAACAATTAAAATCAAATAATAAAACCCAAAGGAAAATGAATACTATATAATATAAAAACAGTATAGAATAAATAACATTCAAATTAAAATAATAAATTCAAGTTTAATAAGTTTAATGATAAAATTAGTAATAATAAAACCAAATTAAACATATAAATTTTAACAAATAAAGCACAACTAAGCTTCAAATATTTGCTTTATTTAACAATATATTTGTATGACAAATTATTCGACTAATCAAAGTTTAAAAATCTCATAACTAAGCCAAAAAGGCATTAATTTTGATTCGGAAAGCTTTCCTATGCTAGTTTTTATTGGGTTAATAAATCTTCAGACCAAATATAAAGTTTTTAAAAATTAAAATTTTCATAATTTTTTGTTTGACAATTTTAACGATGTTACTTATTGAATTTTGAAAAAAAATTTAGAATTTTATTTTTCTACCAAAGGTGGCTAGATCGACTCGGCTGATGATGCTGATCAAGAATATACATGATTTATAGGGTCGGAAATGACTCTTTCATTAACTTTTCCTCAAAACAATAGGAAGAAAATAGCTTTCAACAACACACACAGTATACTATATACATTTCTAATCAAACCTGCATTTGAGGCTTTTTGCGCAAATTGTATACAAAATGTTAATTACTTGCATACATCTTCATAGATAATTAATGCACCTATATTACGTAGGGTCGCGGATGTTAGCAGTTCGTCTACAACTAAACTGAAATGCAACTTTTACAATCGCGTCGACAATTGAATTGATCGGAACCCCACGGAAAGTGCTTGCACACTACAAAAATATATAAAAAAAAAGATAAAATGCAAAAATCCAAATGGACTTATCAAGGACTAAAACAACATACTTGAATTTTGCTAGTGCAAATAATAACAAACATAGAAGACAGACGAAATTCTAAGAAGACCTACCTCAAATGCGGAGTAGACCAAGCTAAGATGCGATCGAAAGGCATTTGGCATAAGACCCTTTAAACAAAAATTACATATCATCACTTGACACATATAACTTTGTACTGGACTGTAGTGATTGTATTCCTGGAAGTGTTATTACTAAAAACAAATGCATATATTTCCCATTAAGTCTACATAGTTTTTCTATTTAAACAATGTACTTAAAGTACACTTTAGATCATTGTAGGAGAGAATACAAACTGCAAGGCTATAATATATACTTTCTCCAAAGTAAAGGATACACTTTAGAATTAATCAAGATTTAGGTAGTAAAGTAGAGACCAGAAATATTTAGTAACTTCTCCAATCGGTTTGATTTGTCATCCCAAATTAGCGATTACAGTCACAGGCACTTGGCGAATAAACAACGCCGATTATTATCTGCGCTTTCAAAATGCAGCTATCAATTGAGCCCATCATCGATAGATGAGGCCCTTGACGTCTGCCAAAAACACAAAAGACAAACCTCTGAATATATGTCTATATATATTTGTATATATATATGCATATAAATGTCCGATTTCCCGTCTCTTGAACACACGACACGGGTCGGCTGCAGGGCGATAAAATGCAGTGTCAGTTGAAGTGCTTGATTAGGCGATTTGCGAGCAGCTCTTTGCCTGCAATTAGAAACGGCAACCGCAAACACTGTCAAATAATCGGAAAGTCAGGGGCGTCTGATGGTAAGAGGGGGTTCTTGCTGTCATTCACAAACCCCATGGGGGTGGTGCTTGAAAAATGATTTACACGCGCAAAATCATAAATTATGCCCATTATCGAGTGGCGGCACCGGAAGCAACGACAAATGCAGATGACATGCTGCCAACGATTGCAGCAGCGATGATTGGGAGAGTTTGATTGCAAGTTTGATTGAGATTTTCGGATTGGCATTGGTGTATTGATGATATCGATGGGATGTTGGCCAAGACAAGGCTTTATGAACCCAAACCCATTGCCTGTGCTTTTTCGAGCGACTCTTATCAGTCCAGTTAACGTCATTCAATCCCATCCAATGAGAAATCCCAACCACTTCCAATTCCAATTCAATTTCGAATTTCACATTTTCAATCACACACCGGCACACACACCTGGTGTTTGATTGAAAGCAGCGACACTTTCAATGCTAATGAGCCACAATTCCGTTACCCATAACCGCAGGCGATTCAGTTCGCGTCGGTCTTCGTTGGGCATCGCACGGTTAAACGCTGCCGGGTCTCAAGAAATTTAAAATACTAAAGTTTAACACCTGGAATATATACATACCTGGTGCCCATGCCAAGCGTTGCGATTATCGTACGATTCTACGTCCGGTTCTGTCCGATTTTGTCTGGCCTTAATTAAAAATATCGTTTTTTGCGCACTGATAAACGCGGTGGCAACGCAAAAGGGAAGTCGCGTGCTCAAGATACAATCGGATATATATTATATATATATCTTTTTTGGCCAATACAATGCGTAAAAGTGATATTTTTAATGGCTTCAACCTGCTGATCCTGTTTGTGGTCTCTTTGGCATTGTCCTGCGGTTCAGGTTGGTACTATATAGCTATAAATCATGAAGATCCGTTCAAAAATCTGTTTCCTGAAAACATTTTCTATAAACCCTTACTTTTATGGGTTTTCTAGAGCACAAACTTGTTTCAAGAGCTTTTAAGAGTAATTACAACGTTTGAAAATTTCTTTAATCACACATTAAATAATTTCTTGTATAATATCTTCCCTGCACTTTAAATGCAATTACTATGCCTTATCAAAGAGTATTTCTGCAAAATAATTGAAATGCAAACATCCGATGTAATGTCAAGTGTACACTTTACCCTCTTTAAGTACAAAAAGACCATGTTAAGGTTTATATTTAACTTTAAGTACTAACTTTTACACGTAATGAAACAATAATTATATGAATCTTAAACAATGACTTATTCAACATATTTCGTGGAACACTGATTAAGATCAAGAGCGGTAAATCGTAGTAATTGTGATAAGGGCGCAATAAATAAAGTGCCATTTTAAGTGCTTTAATTGTACTTACAATTTGAAAATAATATCTTAATTTTTGAGATTTTTTATATCAAGGCAGAGGTTTGCTAAGGTTCATTGACTTTTTGATATGATTTATGGTTTAAAAATGGTTTTATCAAACATAAAAGCTTTTAATTTGTTTACGTTTGTCCCAGAAGTTTTTATTATTTGAGTTTCTATTGAAAATGGGTAGAGATTAAGATAGTGATCATGACCATTATTTATTAATTTATGAAATAAAAGTAATTTATACTTATTTAATAAACTTTAGGCACTTTGCTTGTCTGTTTTTGTATTCAAGATAAAGATTTATAATAAATCGAAGAATGACTAAGATAATAAGCTTATTTTGCTTATATTTAGGAAATTGGTAGATCAATGAAAAGTTCGATCTTTAGGCTCCCTTCAAATGATCAATCCCTTGATAGTTCTTGAACACTTCTCCCCCTCAGTTTGAAATCAATTCCCAATGATCATTGATCAACAGGTTTTACCTTAAGAGCAATCTGCTGAAGGCTAAAGAGAGCTCTCATACTTTTAGCCGGCAGCATCGCCAAGTTCGAAGAGAGAGTACAGATCTTGGCAGCTCTCTCGCTCTTCGCTTCGATTATCTCTTCGACGGGGGCCGCATTCTTGTTGCTGTGATAAGGCCACCTTGAGACGAGGTGGCGGTGCAAAAACAAACACAATCAAACAGCCGCAAAATCGAATGCTCTCTTTGGTGCTCTCGAATCGAAATCGCTGACAATTCGCTTAAATTCGCAGGCCAATTCTCGAACGGAATTCAGTTGTAAAAGCCGCGTTGTGCGAACAACAACATATAAATATTTTTAAAGCTAAACAAACTACAAACAATTAAGGCATGTAAATGTAAGAAGCGGGAAATGCTATAACTCAATATCAATCGATGAGCACGTGCCGCCGCCGCATATTCGCAGACACCTTGAGAAAAACCGTAAAAAAATCAGAAATTAAATCAAAATAAAAACAAAACTCTGATAAGGCAGCGCGCGCATATTGGTATCTATCAGAGCAACAAAAAAGCGTGCCAGCTTCAAATAAATATCCACGAAAACAATATTTAATTAATTAACGGTTCGCGCGCGATCGTAGAGGGGGGCGTGGCAGAAGTTCCCCCCTCTTAAAATTCTTCTATAGCTTTTATTCATTCAAATTGTCAACGTCAACACACTCGAATTCTTCTTCAACTTTTGTGTATATTTTTGTGCGTTTCACGTTTCGCTCTCGTTCGATATTTTTGCTTAATTTTTGTCGCTTTTCGGTTTTCTGTGTGAGTGTTTTTTATTTTTCGGCACCGCGGCACGATTTTTAACCAGTTTGTTCGGTCTTTCGGTCTTCTCGTGAAATGCGAAGAGAGCTGCAAAGGCAAAAATTTAAAGAGAATTAGCCTGTTTTTATTTATTTTATTTTCCGCTGCTTTGCCAAGCGGATTTTCAATGTTTTTGCGTTTATATTATTTTTTGGCCATTTCTCTGATTAGATAATCTTTGCCAGAAGCTCCCACGCTTCCTGCTTAGATAATCTAATGGCCAGGGTCACCCGTCTCTCTCTTTTTTTAGTGTAAAATCAGTGTAAGATCAAAGGAATATATGCAATAAAAAACAGAAAACAAGAACAGAACGAGATAATCTCTATAAAGACCAATACCATGGCCATAGAGTCACGCTCAATGAGCACTGCCAGTGATAGTGATACCACAAAATCATCATCATCATCGTCATCGTTATCATCATCCCAAAAATCAACAAGAATCTCCACGAATCTCAGTGATAAGAGACGCGCCGAACAGCTGTTCCGTTGCGCCTGCGCCAACTTCAATCTCTTGCTTCTCACTCTAATGATCGGCTTTGGTAAATGTTGCACTGCCACGCCCACACCCACACCAGCAGCAGCGCCCACATCTGCAGCAGCAACAACAACAACAGTTAACGCACAATCACTGGACGAGGGGGGATCGCTGAGTAAACTCCTCGATGGCAAAGCCTTCATCAACATGAGCTTCAAGTTCCTCAACGTTTCCGGAAAGATTGGCACACCCCTCGGCATAGGTGAGAAAAACCCATCTGCATCTCAGGTGGGAGAGAGAGAGAGATGCAATAGGTAGAACATGATCCCCAGAAAACCAGAAAGAGAAAGGGAAGGAGAGGATCTGCGGAGAATAGAATGTGCAACGTTTGTTTTTAGCTTAGCATGTGCTAATTTTAGACCACAAGCAAAGGTAGATGCTCAGGTGGAAATTTAAGTTAGAATACTCTTACAGAGGTTATGAAGCTATTCGATTTTTTAAGTATTTATTAATTTATTTATTTTTATTTTTGTTCTTGGAAATATTTGTAGTAATACAAAATTACAAGAGGTAAAGGAAATATATTTAATTATGATTTTAAAATATTAAGCTTAAAATTTCCTTTAATTTAGATAAAACAGATCAAGAAATTATCATAAATAGCATGGTAAATAATTAATACAAGTATTTTTATCCACACAACATATTTTATTGTCTGTACTTGTTCTCAAATTTAAAGAATTTTATCCGACCTCCAATAGTATTACTATCTTAAGGTGTCAGATACACAATAACTACTAAATCTAGAACATATACCCCTCCATTTTCTGTATATTTACAACCACAAATTCCTTAAAACGAATTTACAATCCCCTAAAAACCCTTTCTTTAAGGGTATTTCATCGAACCTTAAGTCTAGTCATTGAAAAGGCTTTTGCTTGGCTTCACACAACATGCACTTGAAATGGGTTTTTTCAGTTAAAGAGATACAGATACAAACACCTGTACAAATGCAGATGCAGATGCAGAGATACAGATACATCAACAGCTATAGATACGAAATAAAAGAGTGCAATTTGCCACTTGTTGCAGGCAAACATAAACACACACAAACATAACCATTGATAGGCGGTGGATCACCGTGGTTACCGTGGTTTAGAAATAGCCAAAAAATGTCTATCAACTTCCGCAATTGATTTCCGTCTTAACTTGACCAACGTATTTCTATATCTTTTAAAAGGTTCCCAGATAATGGTTAAGACTGGCGTCTGGCTATGACGTATGTTTTCTGGCACGGGGCATTCCAATCATAAATCTAACTTTAAATCAATTGATTTGACCAACAGGGATTTGGCGTTGGGCGGCCAGCCCTGAACTGGGGATTATCTTATCGGTCGATTGTTAATTTTTACGATTTGTTTTATTTTTTATGCATTTCTCGTTTTGCCGGGATTTTGCGATTCGCCATTGCCATCGAGTGGCCACTCAAGGGCAGCTAGTCAGACAATAGAAAATTTCCTCGTATAAATCAAAAAAATTAATAGAAAGATAGTAAAATGGGATTTCGAAAGGTATAATAAATAAGTCCTTCAAATGTTATTCAAACTTTCTTTGTGGTGTAATTATTTGTCATTAAGGATTGCAGGTAACTAATTGCTTAGTGTTATATTAAATTATATTTTTGAAATGAATACCTCATTAAAGAATTAATAAATCATTTTGTATTTGTAAAATGTTTCTCACAATAGTTTATTATCTATATTTGAAACTGTACAATTATTAATTCTACAAAGAGTTAATGATATTAAAAATAATACTAAAATTATTTGGTTTCCAGAGAATAATTTTTATGCAACATATTTAAAATATTCATATTTAAAGAGAACCTATTTCCATCTTAATAATGTATCTTAGTCAAATATCAATTAATCATTATATAAGAATGCAAATATTTCTTTAAAAAAAAACCTTACTTATATTCCCTAGAAAATATATGTACTTTGCTCTCGGATATCTTGGACTTTAGTCAAAATGATTTAAATTGTTGACAGAAACACATCTTTAACCCAATGAGAGAAATAGCGCATTTAAGAGACTTGACTTTTTCTTTCAAATATATATTGACGTAGTCCAGAAAATCTATCTGCTGTCCAACTGCGTTGTCTTGGCTAAATTTAAACATATTTTCTTGGTTTTCATCAACATGTTGTGAACTTAGAAAATGCACCATATTTATAGACGAGTCGAGCCCCTATTTCTCAATCGATTTGCGATGTAACATGGCACATTATCTCTTTTAACCTGTCAGTCTCTCAATCTGTTGAGTTTTTGCCTCTCTTTGCTGATTTATTGCTAATTCCATATGATTTGTTCGCCGAGTGAAAGATGCTGTCAGATAAATTAACATATGCTTGATAGCATATATATAATATATATAGTATGTGATGCTGCGGCAAGGTCGCCCCAAGAGAGGCAGAACTTGATTTAATTTCTGTTTGTGCGCCCCATTTAGAATTTAGAATTTAATTTATTCGCCTTGCCAACGAATCTTTCTAGCATATAAAACTAGTTTGTGCCAGAAACTCGGCAACAATAACAAATTAATAGTGGGCGTGTTCGTTTGTGTTGCATATAGTATAAGATGTTGATGCACTTTAATTGTTTTGTTTGCCTACAGTAAACATGTTTTGATTGATTCAACATTTCTAAAGGGGGGAAATTCATAGAGAAACTACGCGACGCCCAAAACAATATTCTAATTGATCTCATCATTCCTCAGGAATCACGTGTTGAGTCAGAGTCAATTATCAGGTAATCCATTAACCTTGATCTTGACGCAATTCACGGCTTATCAGCAAGCTTTTTAAATACAAATTAGTATTAATTTGCTTAATCGGTACAAGATTATTGATTTCACCAGACTTCTATTTTTTTGTTTGCTATCAATTTATGCTTACTTTTAAACAGAATTATGATTAATTATCAGTTTTGGCGAGTCCTACTATGACCATGAGATAACCGCGTATCTGGAATAAGTCACCTGGTATTTGTTATCATTGACTTTTCTAATATATATATATATAGCTGTGATCAGTTGCCCATTGGCTGTGAAAATCGGATGATGATGACGACTTGCAGTTTCTCAAAGTGAATTTTATTGGGTTAAGCCAACCGGATTGCGTGTGGACGACTTGTTTTCGTCTTTACGTTTATCGAAATCATTAGTTATGCTAAGCAGTTTTATTTTCGATAGCATTTTTTTTTGCTTTATTTATATATATATTTATTCATAGTCTCAGGCTGCGTCTGGCTTTAAAGATTGAAATTGGCAGACAATCTGTTGGCTGTGATTTTGATATGAAACTGGTTGGGCGAGGTGTGTCAGAGTCTCATTACGGAAACTGTGTGATCAATAATTAACTTAAACTGCTTCAATTAAGTTAGTTGAACTCATGTCTATTGATATAATTATTTAAAATTATGATGGATATTGCGAATAAAATATTATTTATGTCCTTAGTAAATATTTTACTAAGACGATTCAATTTCAAATATTCAATAAGCCTCTAAAAGCTTTATATTATTATATTTTCTTTGTAAATTAACTTGGACTTTAACAACTTAATTCTTCTTTAAAAGACTCATATTACATTTAGCAACATTATTCTAACAAATTTTAATCAGAGACTGCATAAAAATACAATAATTTTCCCTTTACTTAACCTTTCCTCTTTTGGTATTCCCAAAAATTAAAATATTTACCCATTCCCTCCGGCTATCAGAGAACCCTTATCAATCCCAATAACTTATGGTGCCTAAATTTATACCAAATTAAGGTTATAAAATCAAAATAATTCATATTATTTTTCTATTTATATGCGGAGAGCCCAAGTATTTTTGGCATTTTAAAGCACTTTTTGCCGTAAGCCTAACAAATATTTATTTTTGGGCTCTGTTTTTCATTCATGCGTTTCCCGGCATAAGGCAAAGAAACCCATTCATTGCGATGCTTGACGTCATCTGGAATAACTTGAATGGCTACTATACACACGCAGATATATACTACAGATGGATATATCCACATCTGTCTCGTAAATATATGCATGCAACGGTCCGAATTATAATTCGCCATTTGGTTGACTGTCATCGTGCATAATTGAAAACAATTCCCGGTTAGCCAGTGCGGCGTCACGAAATCGAATTGATTTGACCTTATTGATTGACGGCTGGCAATCGGTGATTTTGGCCCTTTGTTTATTTTGCCACACGCACTCGATACAGCCTGGGAACTTCAATTACGGCAATTAGCAAGTAGTCACGACACATATGTAAAATATGTACATATATACTATACTGAGCATGTGAATGGGGAAAATATTGAGCCATTGAAATATGCAAACGAATGAGACGGATCGCCTGCGGAGGAGTGAAGGTCCTGCGAATGGGTCAAACGAACAGAGCTGTCAATGGCAGGCAGGGATATGGAGAACCCTTTTCAAAAATTACCTCTCCACTTCAGGCATTCCTCCTCCTTTTATTATAGCTATTTTACTCTCATGCTCTGTGTGTTTGCTCAATGGCCATCTATTACATTCATATATTTTTTTTCTAGATGCCTGTCACATTTTGTATTAGGTTCCCAAGACTGTTGACATTCTAGGGCACTGGGAATAAAAATTTATGGTGTTGAAACTTTGCTAATGTGTAATTAATTACCCAATATCTGGCTCATATATGCTTAAGTTCTTTCTTAAATTTAATTTACTTTGCTATCATATTTTCTATTTTTTTATTATGCATTTAAGGAAATGTTCTTAAATATATAAGAAAATTAAAATCCTTAAATGTATATATCTGCTTCACAAATATCCTTTAAAATTTCTTTCAGTATAGAGTCCTCCCTATGTGATGCCTTGTTTTGTTTGAAATATTTGTATTGCATATTTTCAAGGGCGGAACGAGAGGGGCGATATGAAAAGAAAAAAAACGGAAGGAGGCCAAAAACTTTGTGATCCATTTTGTTTGAGGCTTTTCTGTTGATTAAAAGCCCCCTCTCAGCTCCTCTTGTTTATCGTTTAGTATGCAAATGACTTGTCACACTCGCACACACATGTGTCCTCTGTGTGTGTCTGCTCCTGATTGTTTTTGAAGTTTTTCAGCCCTAATCAATTTGAGCCTTTGTTTTTTCTCCTTTAATGAGAAAACTTTTCTGTGAGCCCGACCAGTGGAAAGCCCTTAAGTCCATAACTCGAAGTCGTTATAATTAGCCCTAAGCATTTGTGTCTGTGTTTGCTTAACCCACTAAATCAATGCCGTTTTGCATTTGCAGGCCAAGCCCTGGAAGCCAAATGCGATGAGAAGCAGTTTCAGTGCCACAGCGGTGACTGTATACCCATTCGATTTGTGTGCGATGGCGATGCGGACTGCAAGGATCACAGTGACGAACAGGTCAAGGAGTGTAAATTTATAGGTGAGTCCTTTTTATATGTAACCTTGTGTAGGGTATTTTTAGTCAGTTATGCTGAGAAGGAGTCATTTCCGACCCTATAGAGCATACATATTCTTGATCAGCATCAAAAGACGAATCTATCTAGACATTTAGGGGAGAAAAAAATTTTTAAAATTTTTATCAAAAATTTATAATATAAATTGTCAAAAAATTGAAAAGAAAAATTTAATTTTTTAACATTTTAAACTGTATGTAGTTTTATTAAACTAATAAAAACTAATATGGGAAAGCTTTCCGATTTGAAATTAATCAATTTTTGCCTTAGTTGTGAGATTTTTTAACTTTGGTTTGTCGAAAAAATTGTCATATAGAAATATTGATTAATATATTTTCAAAGAATCTGAAAATTTAAGCTTAGTTATGGCCAATTTTCGATATATATATTATATATATATACTAACCTCTGCTTCCCGAAGTTTATTTTACTAGGTTACTACTTTTATTTTTTATATTTTTATTATGGCAAATAATTATTTAATTTTGACTACAAATCATACTATTTCGGCTTTTGCCGCTTTGTTTTATTTCAATCAATTTATTATTTTTATTTAAATGCAAATGTCAGTAACACAATTGTTTGACAAATATCTAATTCATTGCCCTACTTAACCTATTCTTTTACAAATATTTAAAAGAATTGTTTAACATTTATTTTTGTATTTTTTCATATTAATTATTTATTTAATTGCGCGTCATTTGTTGCTGTTGATATTTTTATGGAATCATTTTTAGAGCAATGACAATGATAAATAGCATACATTTTCAGAGTCTTGATAATCTATCAACAATATGAATTTCGATATATTTTTATACCTCTGCAGGGTATTATTTTGTAATTAATTGCTAGGTTTTTGTGAGTGTTGTTAATATTATTGCTTATAATATTATTGCTATATAATATTTTTAAAAATCCGAAACTACGTATTAACAAGTATAGATTATTATTATATTAAAATTCCTATATTCATCAACCAACTTGAATATAAATTAGAGCAAATATCGCCCTTTGATAAACCTCACTGCACATTTCCGTTGGGTTTAGGGTCCTCCACTTTTCGTTGCCTACTTTCCGGCTGCAGCGACTGTAGAACGTCAACAGTGGCGTGCCGCTTTATTGAGCCTCCCCAGTATCGGATTCAGCAGTTGGTTTTCCTTTTGTTTGCTTCAAACCTGAAACTGAAATGGAAACCAAAGCTGAAACTAGTTTGCAACATTTACGCATCGCAATTGTCGCTGTCTGGTGACCAAAAAGTGTGCCATGGCAGCAGCATTTGGACTATATCTCCGTTCGCCCCGCCACTTGCCCCCACCCGAAACCCGAAGCATTAATGCAACGCATTTAGTTGGATGACTGCGGCATGCAGCGCTGTTGCATCAGCAAATTATTCTGCTGCTGTCTGCCGCTGCTTTATCACTCGCCCCGCACGAGACTTTTGCGACTTATAGATGCCACCACAGACATATATAGTCAGAGTCCGATCTCGTCTCGTGGCCTAAAAGGAAACTATGTGAGGTCGTCTGCTCTGGCCTTATCGCCGGACAACCGAAAGCTCTGACCATTCGAAAACGAGTGCATCCATTTTGGGATTCCTGCGGCGCATAACGCAACGTCTTTATGTAACTCAAAGCTAATTAAATTCACTGTGGAGAAATTGATAATGAGGCGGCGAAGCAATCTGGAAGGAGAAGCGCATTTCTGCTGAACTTGAGGGAATTTTGATAAGTATGAGGGGTTTCCCAGGGTTTTTATTATTCTGCGTACTTCCTGCGGAATTGCACACAGTTATTATTGAGATTGTGCTAAAAATAGTTTCGATTTAAGTTCTGAGTTAATATCAGTGAGTTTAATTAATATTGGGATATGTTGTAAAGGTTTTCTTACCTTTTTGACTAAAGAAAAATGTTTAAGAAATTGTTTTTGGGTATAACATTGAACCTTTTAGCTTAGAAAAATAAATAAGCATATCCTTGAAGTTTTAATGTAAAAATGTTAAATAAAGCTCTTTTCAAGGAATAATTTATTTAATTTAATCTTAAATAAAGCTCTTTTCAATTATTTCAATTAAATCTTAAATAAATCCTTTCCCTAAAAAACATATTTATAAAATTATTATTGTTTTTAAATACCCTGAAATATAGATCTATAATTTCTAAATAAGTTCTCAATTAAATAATTTACCAACTTAATTTCTTTGATAAACTATGATCCTTGATCCTTACTTACACTCAAAAGTAAGAGTTTCTTCCCATTTCCACTCAAAACAAAAGGCACAGAGCACTCGGACATTCGCTCAGTTCGAAAGTCACTCGTTTACCCCTCGGATTTCCACTCGAGTTGCGTCGCAATTTTGCACTCGACTCGCTGGAAAAGCTTTCGGACTCAACTCTCGAGCGGAGGCTGCAGAGGCTGCAAACCACTTTGGGCGGAATTGTTTTTAAGGATAGCCGCTCTGTCAGCGAACACTCAGTTGGCGGCGAACCTCTCAACCAAACGGATGTTAGCGCGAGAAACGAGTGCGAAAGTGAAAGGACTGCCTCCTGTTTAAGGGGATAACATTTGCATATATCTACAGAGATATATACATATATATAGACGGGGAAGCCCCAGACACAGGACTCTGTGAAAAAGCGTGCATTAAATGTAAGCCAGGCGGCCAAAGTGTGCCAAGTGTGTGTGTGTTTGTGTGTGGTTGTGGTGTGCCAAAGAGCTGCAAAGAATAAACAAATAAAGTGAAAATATTAAAGGCTAATTGTACTGAGACTCTGCCAAGATTTCATTCTTATCTCTGACAAAAAACGCCAGGAGCAGCAGCAGGACTCGTAAAATCCTGCGAGGGAGGGCCTGTCCCTCAAGGATATGGCCAGGAAGTCACCATTTCTCGGCCAGACTTATCCTCAGAGTCAATCGGTGACAGTTGATGGGGTTGACTTCCCAGTCCCCAAACAAAAACAACAGCAGAAGCAGAAGCACTTGCCATTTCAGCCATTTATCATTTAGTTGAACATTAAATGAGTTTCCGCCATTTTCCGACCCCAAGCAGTCGTCTGACCCCGAAAAATGGAATATCATGTTTACATTTTATATATATATATATATATATATATTTTGTGTGGTCCGCTCATAATGAACTTGAAATTGTGCTGCTCGAGGGCAGTTTTTGTTTGCGGAAATTATGCAATCAATTTGTGCAAGTTGGCTGGAACTGCTTGAATATGTCAACCAGAAATTGGGCCTTATTTATTGGTGATAATTAAGGATCTCTTGACTAAACTGAATCTCTCTTCATTTAGCTGCTTAAAAAACTTACTTAAAACTTTGCGGAATTTACTTGTGAAAAAAGCCCACGCAAAATGGGTCGCATTTGGTGTTTAATCGTCGTTGCCAGTTTGCTGCAAACTCAGAGCCACAGTTTAAGGGCTCTGACCATAAATGGTATGCAAATCATTATGCTTATTAATTTGACTAATTTCAAATTCTAATTGTGCGAACAATATATCAAAATTGAGTGATTTTAATGCATTTGTGAACAATAAAAATAAGGGTTGGGTTGAGATGACCCATTAAATGTTTGGTTTAGCTGAAAATATAAATATATAATATGTATTTATTACAAAAAGTGCAGATGTTATGTTATTTTAGCATTTTTTAGGGCAGATCATCAATTAAGAGCTAATATAAATAATTGTTTAGTAAACAGCTTAAAAACTCAGTCTTTGACTTTACAAAGTCTGCATTGAATATTTAAACACAGAAATTTAATATGTGAAGGCAAAACTTAATGCAAAGCAAATAGGGTTTTCCCACACAAATATTTTTAACGCAAATTTTTAAAGCTCAAATTTAAATTCGAAGTTTAAGGAACAATAAGGAAATATTTTTATATAGGAATTTTAATAACTTATTAGTATTCTTAAGAGCTATGTTTACATCCCCGTGAAATTGAATTTTCTTTTGTATTATTTACTCAATTAAGAAATATATATTTCACCTTCTTAATGCGAATTTCAAATCAAAAAATATCAATAAGTTTATGTACCTTCTAAAGTGATTTTTATTATTACAAATATAGATTTCACCTTCTCAAAACAAGTACTTTTGCTACTCCGAAGATTGCCTTCCACATTTTCCCTGAGCATGATTTTCAAGAGCTTTTCACTTCCTTAAGTACTTCTTGTTAACTCTCTCTAGTGCTGCTATCATGTCCTTTTACCAGCCCCGAAAGACCCCAACTTCCAAAAGTAAACTCAAAACGCGGCAAAATTCTCGGTTAAAACTGGTGGGGAAAGTTGGAGGGAAAAGTTTTAACTATTATCAGGTCGGAAAGTTTTCGACACCTTTTAACTTAAATTAAACATGCCGAAATCCCAATCATCTGGATTTACAAAAATCCCGTTTTCCACCAGCCCCTGCTTACCCATTTTCCGCTTTTCCAACAACATCCGCCTGCAGCTATAGCATACACAGAGCCTGGCAGCGATGCAACAGAATATTTTCGCCAACGCCGCTTAACATTTGCATACAAATTGGGAAAAGGAGGAAAAGCGGCGGCAGGGAAAGCGGTAGAGATGCCGTGAGGAACACACGGAAACATCAACTGCCAAAGGCCAAAGTTTTTTAATCAACTGAAAAGCCGTTTAAACTTAGTTAAAAATATAAATTATGACAGCATAACTTTTATGTTTTTATTTGATGTGCAGTTTTGTCGTATGTATATTCTTTTTTTGTTCCTGCATAAATGCATTCAATGAAAGTTTTCCGACCGCCGTGTCATAAATGTCATGAATACAAACAAAAAAAAAAATGCGACTATAATTTGATTTTTAATTGGGGGCAACGGTGACATCAAATTTTAATACGTTCAGATCAGCGAAAATTTGCAATTTGTTCGCGGGGCGCAATTTTGCCCCGAAAAAAATAATGTCACATATTAGCAAAAACGGAGGGGGAAAAACCGAGGGGAATCACATAAAATTAAATCGACAATCATGGTCACCCATGTTCGTACACATTTTATTTTCGCCTGTTTTGGGTCACACATGTGGCCAATTTTTTATTGTTCACTGAATGCGAGTATTTATATTTGCGTCCTTTGTTTTGCTTTTATATATATTTTTCTTGTTTTCCCTTCCCTTTTTTTTTTAACAAATATTGGCTCACATCAAAGTTTTGTTTTTGCGCAAGTTTTCCTCACACAGACACACACTCGTAGCCATTTTTTCATGCCACATTTCATTCTCGTCCATAAAAAGTTTAGAAAAGTAATCATATAAAATGTTATTGATATGGCGGCAAACACTGGCATAAAAATTGATTAAAAGTTACAGGGTATTGGCATTGGTAAAGGACATTTCCCCAGCCAAGGTTTGCATAATCAAAAGCAGGCAAATTCGATATGTCCTCAAGGCATTTTCCAATAATTTTCAAAAAAATGCTTGGGATTTGCTTTCTTTTGAGTTTTAGAAATTGCCCCAAGTTTCCATTCAAAATGTAACCCAAGGAAATGGAAAATTCTAATTGCCAAGGCCACTCCAAGAAGTATGCAATAGAAATTTCGCAACTAGCTTTTCCGGCTGTTGAGCCGGAATAAAAGCATTTCATAGGCAACAAGTCCGTGGCGGATTCAAAGAGCAACTAATCCTATTACCAGTCATATAGTATATATATATATACATGTATCCATATACTATATAGTATAAAAAATGACACATTTTCGCTGCCCCTTGGAGTGGCATTGAAAAGCCATTGCAGCAGCAGTCCTTTTTGTTTTCCCCTCGTGTATATTGTATGGTGTATTTTCCTTGCTCAGCACGTGCTCAAGTGCGTGTAAATAAATGTGTTTGGGTGTGTGTGTATACACACACACACATGCACACACGCAGCGGAAAAGGCATTCATAAACACGCGTATATATTTCTGAGTGCCCCCTATTTCCTTTTTATTTATTTTTTGTGTGTTTGCTTGGCTTTTGTTTTTGATACGGTTCGCCAGGGGGATTTCAAAGCCAGGCAAACATACAACTTCGGTGATAATAGTACAGTTGAAAATAATTTTTAAAGGTCTGCAGTATTTATTCACATATTTTTATTTAGCTTATTTACATTTTTTGGGGTGCAAGAACTTAATAAAAATTAAGCTTTATAGGTAAACTCTATTAGAAAAGGTTATACGAATTTAATAACATTTATTAAGTGTCTTCTGAAGAGTGACTTGATCAGATAAACTATAAATTTAATTTTTAATTAATTTAACATTAATTTAATTTTAATTTTTTTTTATTTATTATTCAAATAAAGATCTTTTCTTTTTTAAAACAAACTCATGAAAGCCGTTAGCCATCATGTTACAATATTCTTAGCAAAATATGCCTCACAAAACCTTTTATAAAATTCAAATTAATCTTTAAATATTAAAAAATAAAACTATATTAATTTACATTAAGTTCTAGAACCTTTAGTCACCTGATTTAACTGTTTTCCTCTTTTGAAAATTCTCCCTTTGCAGAGGCCACCTGCTCAACGGACCAATTTAGATGCGGCAATGGCAATTGCATACCAAATAAATGGCGCTGCGATCAAGAGCACGATTGTGCCGATGGTTCCGATGAAACCCCCGAATTGTGCAGTAAGTACACCATGAATTCAATGGGGATATATGCAACACACCCACGGAGAGAGAGAAATAGACTCTAAGCTAACCGTTCCGATTGTTTAGTGAATGCCTGTCCCAACAATGAGTTCAAATGCCGCACTGTCGAGCAGTGCATTCCACGGAGCTGGCTCTGCGATGGCAGCAACGATTGCCGCGACAAGTCCGATGAGGCGCACTGCAGTAAGCCAAAAGAAAAAACAATCTACTACTAAAGCTACGAAATACCACCCATCCATACCCCCTTCTGCCCGTCCTTGTGTGTAGTAATCGCTTTCACTAACCAACTTGCCGCATAACTCATACGCACCCTTAATGGAGTGGCGCTTGCATAATTTTCGCAACAATTTACCACCCCATCCCCCCCTTGCGATGCTCAGAAGTTTAATCAAGTCATTGAGAGCGAGAGTCACAAGTACCAGTTGTGTGTGTGTGTGTGTGTGTGTGTGTGTGTGCGGGTGTGTATTGTGTACTCATTCATGGCGGCCCTTGACAACAAGTATACGACGCGTTGTCGCTGAAACTGGAGACTGAGGATGGCGCCAGGCAACATGAAATCGCATGAAATTCGCTTAATCCTCGCCCAAAGACACAATATCCTCGACATTGTCGCGGGTAAACTACAGGCATCACTCCATAAAATAAACAGAGATACATAAAATAAGTTAAAGGTACAAAATGATTACTTTTATATTCATTTTTGAACAAGAAAATATTCAAGAGTTAAATTAGTAATGAAATTAGGTATTTATCTTCTATAAATCATTTTAATCTGACTATAGAACAGTTATTTAATAATATAAATATTGAGCTATAAATTAGAAATATATATACTAGCTTTAAAATATATCCTGGAATTCTTATAGAAGTCCCACTGTATTTAAGGGCGTCGCTGCATAAAATCAGTTGATCTTTTTGCGATATCTAACCCCTAGACGTGTTCCCCAGGCTGATGGAATATTTAGAAATATTTTCCCTTTTAGCTTTACCAGGGTAGGAATGGGTTTGCTTCCCTAATAAATGAATTTATTGTTATGTCTCCGTGGGTAATACATGGCGTATGCGTAATGCATTGAAAGGAATGGCAGCTCAACAAAAGGCTTTCTCTTTTCTCCCGCCCAATGTTTGTTTTTTATTAAATGCTGCTCATCAATATTGAATAGGAGCCCGCACCTGTTCGCCGGATGAATATGTCTGCAAAAGTGGAGAGGGACAGTGTGTTCCTTTGGCCTGGATGTGTGATCAGAGCAAGGACTGCAGCGATGGCTCCGATGAGCACAACTGCAGTAAGAAATAATCTATGAATTGATTTCTAATTTTTGGAGTAGAAAAGTTGAAAAATTTAATTCCTTACATGTTTGTTTAGAAGATATAGTTTTCTTTATTTTACAACTTTTTAATTAAATTCTTTTACATGTTTAAGGCAAATATTTGTTTAAATTAAACTCAGGTGAAAATAAACACCACTTACTTTTCGTTTACAATTATATTTGACCCTTTCCCTTTGCAAAATGTATTTATTTATTTAGTTCGATTCTACTTAAGTTGAGAGAGAAATTGCTTCAGTTTCGGTTGAGTTTTCCCTTTGCTTATACAAATAGTTTTTAATTTCCATTCATCTGTAGCTGCATTCCAAGCGAACTTCATTCAGAGCTCCCCTCACCCATCCCGAAGTAAACCTCATGGCTAACTTATTCCAACTATTGAGGCAACCGCACTTCATTTGGCTTTTGGTTTTTAGTTGCCATTCATTTGAGCTTTCTGCTGGCTGTGGCCAAGACTCCCAGTGACCCCGAACCCGAGGATAATCATGGCTTTAATGTATTTAAAACTTGTATATTGGAAATGGGAAAATAGCTTTGCATATTGCATTTACAAATTCAAAGCATTCAAATCTATTACTATCTATTTTTTGCTTGCATTAAATCTCTCCCAGCTTTAATCCTTAAAATATTCAACTTCTCCCCAAGAAACTCGATTCCAAACTTATCATCAACTTCATTTCGCTTCGTCATTTTAAATTCCCCAAGAAACTCCAAACTCCATCGACTTCATTTCCATTTTTTGTGCTCTGTTTTTGTTCGACCCTCTCATTTGTTTGCAAACTTCCTTTCTGTGGCGAGTGTGTTCCTAAGTATCCTTGATAAATTCCCCAGACCAAACCTGTCGCTCCGATGAGTTCACCTGCGGCAATGGACGTTGCATCCAGAAGCGTTGGAAGTGCGATCATGACGATGACTGCGGCGATGGTTCCGATGAGAAGGAGTGCCCGGTGGTGCCCTGTGACCAGGTGGCGGAGCACACCTGCACCAACGGGGCCTGCATTGCCAAGCGGTGGGTCTGCGATGGAGATCCGGACTGTTCCGATGGCTCCGATGAGCGGGTGAGTGAATAATACACGCCATAAATTCCCATTTCCGGTGGGGTAAAAAATAAAAGGAAATTCCCCCGCCTTTGGCGTTCGTTTTTTCGGTGTTCGGTTAAGCCACATAAATTATGGCCAAGTTGGGCATAACTCAGCGGCTGCCAGCTTTGGCAGCTTTTGTTGTCAACGCAGGGCACGCGTAAAATTGCATTTTTGCATGCTTAGAGGGGCTGCATAATTTCCGGGACATAGTTGCTGCCTCAGAGCGGAAAAGTTTCCCCAAACTGTGAGGGCAGCAAACTTTGTCCGTTTCCCAGGACTAGGTTTTGTTTTTCACTTATGGAAAGCTGAAAAAAATAAAAGAATGGCCTTTGCTAAACCGCGTTTTAAACTAAATAGTTATTTAAAATTCTAGGAATATTTACTTTTATACTTTGATATTGTATAAGCAACTTTGTTTATTATATTATTTTATCCTTTTCCCCTTTTCAAGGCCTGTGCAAATGTCACCAAAACCGCTACACCCTGCTTGCCGCATGAGTATCAGTGCAAGGACCGCATCACCTGTTTGCATCACAGTTGGCTCTGCGATGGTGACCGGGATTGTCCTGATGGCGATGATGAGCACACCGCCAATTGCAAGAATGTAACCTGTCGAGCGGATCAGTTCCAGTGCGGAGATCGCAGCTGCATTCCAGGACATCTCACCTGCAATGGGGACAAGGACTGTGCCGATGGCAGTGATGAGCGTGACTGCGGTCTGAGTTTGAGTCTGGGATCGGAGCAGGGAGCCTGCAACACCACCAGTGAGTTCGATTGCGGCGGTGGTCAGTGTATCCCCCTTTCCAAAGTCTGCGATAAGCGAAAGGATTGTGCCGATGGCGAGGATGAGCCGGCAGGGAAGTGTGGTGTCAATGAGTGTGCCTCAAAGAATGGCGGTTGCATGCACCACTGTGTGGATCTGATGGTGGGTCACCGTTGCGAGTGCCACGAGGGTTACACGTTGTCTGCGGATAAGAGGAATTGCCAGGACATCAATGAGTGCGACACTCCAGGAAAGTGCTCACAGATATGCGTCAACGAAATTGGTGGATTCAAGTGCGAGTGCGAAGCGGGTTACATGAGAGATCCCCGGAATCACACCAGATGCAAGGCCAGCGAGGGTCATGCCTCATTACTCTTGGCCAGGCGTCATGATATCCGAAAGATAGCTCTGGATCACATGGAAATGACCTCAATTGTGAATAGTACAAAGGCAGCCACAGCTTTGGATTTTGTCTTCCGCACGGGAATGATCTTCTGGAGCGATGTGACCACACAGAGCATCTACAAGGCACCTATAGACGAGGGTAGCGAGAAGACTGTGGTGCTGAAGCAATCTTCGGTTACCTCGGATGGTCTGGCAGTGGATTGGATTTACAATCATGTCTACTACACAGACACCCACAAGTGCACCATCGAACTAACCAATTTCGAGGGCAGCATGGGCAAGGTGCTGGTGGAGGACTCTCTGGACATTCCGCGTTCCATTGCCCTGGATCCCATTGAGGGTTGGATGTACTGGTCCGACTGGGGTGCCTCGCCGCGCATCGAGAGGGCAGGCATGGATGGCTCCCATCGCACCACCATTATTAGCTACGATGTCAAGTGGCCCAATGGTATTACCTTGGATTTGGTGAGGAAGCGACTGTACTGGGTGGATGGCAAGCTGAACATTATATCGTCGGCAAATTATGATGGCTCCCAGCGGCGTCAGGTGCTCTACTCCGGCGAATACCTGCGACATCCCTTCTCCATTACCACATTCGAGGATTATGTCTACTGGACCGACTGGGACAAGCAGGCAGTCTTCAAGGCGAATAAATTCACAGGGGAAGATGTTGAGCCTGTGACAGCAGTGCATATGGTAAGTCTTTCTCTTGATTTCAATTATTTATTAACTACATATTCTCTGGATTACCTACTGACTTTAAAGTGTGACTAGTTCTAGTTCCTGTTGATTATTTCCTTGTTTTAAAATGGTCAACTTTCTCTCCCTTTAGCTCCAGCATCCCATGGTGGTGCACGTTTACCATCCGTACCGTCAGCCCGATGGCGTTAACCACTGTCAGTCGGTCAATGGTCATTGCTCCCATCTCTGCCTGCCAGCACCGAGGATTAACGAGCGGAGTCCTCGCATATCCTGCGCCTGCCCCACGGGCCTGAAGCTGATGGCCGATGGCCTCATGTGCGTCGAGGACCGTAAGTATTCGATAGCTTTAGCCACATATATATATGCTTTTGATTTAACCAGCATGGCATGAATTTTGATTTAATGCTTACACTAACAATATGAAACGTAATTCCCCAAAATCCGGCATGACTTGCAACCGCATGATGCAGATCTTTATGTGGCTCCCAGCACGATACCCCCACGAGCCCGCAAAACGAAACCGAAACCAAAGTTTCCTGGGCGGAGATTGCCCACCGGTGTAAAGGTGGGACATGGTGACCATCGGATAGGAGTAAAAGATGATCTCAGGCTGACCACAAGGTTGCCCCTCTTGGCGGCGGGCATTTTCGGTAGGCCTGACAATCCTTTTGTGCGTGTTCTGTCCTCTGTCGTCCTGTGAGGGAGGGAACCCATGTTGTGTCGTCCTTATATATGTTATAAATGTTGTTTGGAAGGGTATATGTCCTGGAATTTTACTTTTGTTTCTCTGGCATCCTTAGAACAAAACACTATAAAGCCAATATTAAAAGACAACAATCCTCATATTCAGTTTGTCAAAAATCCCTGAACCCTCTTGTTTAAAATATATATATTTTCCACAAATTTTAAATACAGAATAACTTTCAAAGCTGTCATTTTTCCAACAGTTTTAATCCATTATTTATGAGATGCAAATCATTTTAATTCCACTTCCCTCCTTGTTGAACCCAACCTGTCCTTGGAATGTAAAATTTGTAGCAGAAAGAAACACGAAGAGAAAACTTCATCAGCAGCAGGATCTCAACAGAAATTTTGATTAATAAATCCCGAAGAATAGAAATAGGGATAACTTTGATAGTTATCCTTTCGGATGGGTTGACAACCCAGCGACTTCCTCTCTCCATTTATACATCTCTCTCAACTGTTTTATAAACACTTTCGTGAGATTCAGATTTATTGCGAGCGTATTAATCAAAATACTTGCCAGGATCCGCACTCAACCGATTGTACCCCTTTTGTGTGGCAACATTGGCTTTGTCATGGCCCACATTAATCATCATCAGCAGGACACAGGAGCCCCCCATCCTTGACAGTTTCATAAACGCCATCCGCCGGATTGAGCCACTTGCATCGGGGCCAACCGCAAGTAGGCAGGCAATGGGCCAGCACTGCAATCGAGGAGACCCCCAAGGGAGCTCAGCGAGGACCCTTTCCCAATCTCCATCTCCCAAAACCACCAACCCTTAACCCAACCCACAATTTTCAGCCACAAAGTATGAGGTTAATATCACGAGGAATGGGATTCCCCTCCATTCAGTGTTTACTTTAAAGTGCGGCTCAACTTAATGTTGATAACTTTTACTGTTTTGACTATGAAGAAGTCCTCCCACGACAACATTAAATGCGATGCGTTAACGATGTCATTACGCTACCATTTCCATTCTCATTCCCATTCCCATTCCCATTCCCATTCCCACTTCCATTCCCTTTCCCACTTCCAATTCCTATTCCCAATCTAAATCGGCGGCGGCCGCTTCTTTGGCATAAAAGTTTGAGCCATCAAAGGCGCGAGCGCGTTTAAGTGTTTATTTGCGCCTAAATGCGCACTTTGAGCGATTTGATTGAAAATTCCTTCGCATCCTTGCCAGTGGGTGGTACAGTACAGGCCCTAAGCCGCTTGGATTCTGATGTTGAATCCCTCTTTCGCTTTGCTCTTTTATTGCAATGATTTCCGCTTTTCTTTTCTTTTTTAAACAGTCTTCCCTTTTGTTTATCATTGCCGAAGGTAGAGTAGCAGCAGCATTTAAGCCCCGTCATTGTGATGGAGCTGGAATAAATCTAAAAGGGGTTGGGATGGCAAAGGTTTGGCTAAGATAGGGTCTAAAATAAATTCCTTTCTTTGAATAAAAATATAGACTGGGATGTTTTTAGACTTATGAGTTGTTCTTAAGAAAATGAAAGAGCTTAAGAAACCAGGCTGGGAAGGGCTTAGAATTTAATTGAATTTAATTTTAAATGTGTGTGTCACGTATGTTTTGTGTTGTTAATTAGTTGGGTAATATTTATAGCAGCATGAAATTTAAAAAGTTGCTTTAATATTTTAATTACTGAAAACTAACCACATACCATTAATGCTTGTAAAATATATAATATCATTGGTTTTTGTACCCCTGCATCATATTATAATTAAGTTAAATGCTTATAAATATTATTGCTTATATTGCTTATTGATAAATATTGATTCAAGGAATGCAAATTCCTATTTAATCCCATAATTCATTTGCAACCTGCAAGGGTATATAAACTTGCTAATCCTTTTATGCTTTTCTGTTTTACTTTGTTACCAACATTTTCCTGTAAAGAAAATCTTCCTAATTGGAAACAATTTTTATTCACAGTTGCCGACCAGCGTCCAGTGAAAAATCAAACCCAAATCGAACAAACCACAGCTCCCAGTCCGCAGCCGGATTCTGGCTTCATAGCGCTGGTGGTTATAGCCAGTCTCAGTGGTTTTGCAGTCCTGCTATCGGTGGTGAGTTCTAGGGAAATGGAAATCTAACTGGAAAACTAATCAATTTGTGTATCCTGTAATAGCTCCTGCTCATTGGCTATCGCTACTGCAGCAAGCGACGCATCAATTCGATGAACTTTGAGAATCCCATCTACCGGAAGACAACCACCACAGAGGATCACTTCAGTTTGCGCAAGAATCTGCCGGCAAGGATCTACGATCATACCAGTGTTATGGATGAGGAGGTGGGTTTTTCATTTAACTAATTTATTTAGATATTGAATATAAATATAATAAATTAAATTCCAGTACTCACCCGTCATTGGCATATCCTCGTATTAGTTTGATACCCATTTTATTCGGCATCATCGTGTGTCATGCAAATAGGATGATTCTTTCGCTTGGTCCTTGGGAAAGATGAAAGACCAAAGTTGACACGAGACCCGCGGCTTAAAAACAACAACAACAACACGCCTGAAGACTGAGCAACTCTGTGTATTGTGTAAATTAATTATTTTAAAATTTTAAGGCACGGCAAGGACAAGGCGGGTCACTTAGGGGGGCGCATCCTCAAAGGATGCTGTACAAAATACTATGTCGCAGAGTTCTATCACAAAACAAAAACAAAACAAAAAGAGAGAAATTAGTAACGAGAAACGTAAAACAAATGGAGATGTTTAAGAGAAATTTAATTGCTAATTATAAATTACATAGTTCCAAACTGTATATAGCTGTAAGTGTGCATTATTTTTAAATGAAGCGAATTAACTATAACTATACGTATATATGTATGACAAGAACAACAAAAACGAAACCAAGGATCATAATGATTATGGTCTACTATTAGAGCAAGTTGAGAAATTATATTTCTGTTGATGTGAAAACAGAATCGTTTTATTATATATTACCATTATTACTACATACGTATTAGCCTTTTGTTAACTGTATTTGTTAAGTGTACATACATATGTATATGTTTTCCCACTAAAAGATACATGATTAATAATAATAAACTCAAATATACTTATGTGTAGTGTATATGTTTGTCGAATATTATTGCCCAAGAAGTGGTAAGTTTTTCAAAAGTATTTAAAAAATATTTTATTTTATATAATGGGGTAGAAAATGTGTGGTAAACAGAGGAATATTTAGAATATAGTATAACCTTCAATTTTATTTTTATATTTATGCGTCTTAAAAGTTAACACACAAAAATTACTCATACGACATGTGGGCCAGTTGGAATTTTTATTCAAGAAAATGATTACCTAATTTTAAAGCTTTTTTAAATTATAATATTACTTTTAAAATTATTATTTATTTATTTAAATTATTATTTTATTTTATATTTTTTAAATTGCTTCTCTACAATTTTTAACAAATTTCATACCCTTTAAACACCACTGTGCCACATAATTTATTCTCCATAAATTCTTATAAATTCAATTGATCTATCATCGGAATATGCAAAAGGTATATTAATTAAAATTTGAATACACATATTATCTTAACAGCTTTCACATCGAAGCCTTGACTTTTGACCTGTGCACCAACAGAAACAATTTAGACCTGTAATTTCACAAATTGCCTATCGTGGTAATTGCCAAGATCGAATAGAGGCCAGTAGAAGAACACACCTCCAAACCGAAATCGATTGTTACACCAGGCCCACTAAAGAGAGAGATTACAATCAACCACCTGCCCACTCTCTCTCTCTCTCTCTCTCTCTCTCGCCCAGCATCAGTTTCAATGTCAGCTGTGCTCCACTCTCTTCGCTTGCGCGTTCTCTTTCGACGAGCGCCGCTGATGACGTCGTCGATCGTGTAGCTCCACATGTGCTGTCAACTAGCTCGCTCTCCCCCACTCTCTCACCGCCTCAGGTGAGATCTACCAAGTTCGGCTTGTACTTGTACGCGTGGCGATCAACGGTTCGTCGGCCAGCGAGCGCTGCCGAGTGGCGCACGAAGCGAAGACACGAACGGTTCAATTGGTGGTTGCCTGACGATATCGGCCTGGCCGGGCCGGCAGTCTTGTTCGTGCCGCACTGTCGTCGTGTCTGTAAGCGCTTCCGCTGTTCCACGCGCCGCCTCAGCAAACACCGTTAGCCGAGAAATTTTCGGTGCGCGAAAAAAATAACATCGTTTCGGAAAGCTAAAGTTCAAAGCAAATATAAAAAGTTCAAGCCGAGGTTTAAAAGCCAGCTCATCAACGCATTTCTCGAGCAGCAGCGAGCAAGTGTTAATTGAAAAATAATGTACGAGTCTATTTTGGCCAAACGTTACGTCAATACATCATGTGAAACGGCAGCATAAATTTCCGCACCACATGTCTTCTTGTGTTGTTTTTTTTTTAAATAAATTAAACAGAAAACATTAGCATATAGAAATGATGTCGCCCTACATGTGTAAGCTCACCTGAGCTTATCACGCTTTACAATGCTGATAAGCAGCCAAAAACGACATTCGTTTTCCAAAAAAAAAAAAAAACTACTGAAAGGGAGCAAGCGAGCTGGCGTAAGGGTTAACGTTAACCCTTGCTTGACCAGAGTCGTCGCCCTTAGTCTGCACTTTTGTTTGCCTGAGTGTGCGTGCGTGTATGTTTTTCGCTTCATGTTTCTCCTATGCTGTTTTCTGCAACATCGTATGATGTTTCTTTTTTTAGTCATCGCCTTTCAGCATGTTTATCGTGCATTTGCCTCGCACTCTCTTTTCGATACATTGCCAAACATTTTCGGTATATTCTGTTTCTTTTATATTTTACGCTTCTCTCTTTTGTCATTCTTTCCCTCTGTTTCGTGAAATTTTTTGGCAAACGTTGCGTGTATTTTCTTGGACTTATTATTTAATAAGACAGAAATATATAAGCTATATAACAAATTTGGTAAAACGAATTGGAGTGAAAAGTGTGTTTGACCCATAATTATAAATAATAGAAATATAACGAAAAATTTACCTAAATATGGTCCTTTTATTTATGAATAATAATAATAACCAAATTCTTGAAAACTATAAAAATGCTCAGTTTTTAATACCTAAAATCTCTTATTATATTCTTTTATTTAATGAAAACGCTGCGGAAATTAATGTTGCCCTTTCTGGAACTATAAAATAATAAATAAACCTCTTATAAAGGTATTCCGAGTCTAAACCCCAAAAGTGCATCTCTACTGTATCCTTGCAGCTTGAAGAGCGTTTTGTAAAATGGCAACAGCTTGCCTGCCGGAATTCACGGAACGTTTTCAATCCACACACTTGAATCCGGCCGCAAATGAAAGTGATAATGATGATGAAGTGCAACCAACTTCAACGCCCAAAACCAGTGCGTTCTTCTTCAGCGCCAGCACCAACTATCACAGCAAAATACAGCAGCTAATCAGTTTTAGCTTCACCTCCTCGTTCCACCTGCTATTTATTACCTGCATTCTGAGCATTAGCAAGTTCTGCAATGCAGCGGCCATAAACGCGGCTCAGGTGTCAGCCGCAGCGCCCAGTCCCAGCGAGATAATGCAAAATCTGAGCGGATCGGCGCTGCTGGAGCGCCTGAAGGCCAGCACTTTGGGGCCACCCCTGGATAGACTGAAACACTTGGCCCCAGCGGCGGCCAACAGCCTGAGTCCTGGCATTGGATCCGGAATGGGAATTGGAATGGGACACTTTGGCAACTCCATAAACTCGGTGCTCAATGGCAATCCCTTCAAGTTCCTCAACGTTTCCGGGAAAATCGGCACCCCATTGGATATATGTGAGTACTAATCCAGTAATTACTATATTATAGGGAGCTTCTAGAAGGTGGGGGAGGCGTAGATATTTAAAATGTATTTAAGCTTAGTTTGAGTTGTTGCTTTGATAGTTTATTTAAATAAAAGTTCTAGCTAATAAAATTGAAATATTAGTATTTAATCAAAGTTTTTATAATCAGGGAATTTCTATAATTTTGTATTGACAATGAGTCATTTTAATTTTAGTCAGAAGCTTAAAACCCTGTGAAGGATTCATTTCCGACCCTCTAAACCATATATATTCTTAATCAGCATCAACAGCAGAGTCAATCTGGCCATGTTTGATAGAAAACAAAAATTGTCCTAAATTTGAATATTTTATAAGGGGTTACTTCGTTAAAATTAAAAAAAAAAATGATAAAAATGTCAATTTTTTTACAATTTAAATTGAGTATGCAGATTTATAATCCTAAGAAAAACTTACATAGGAAAGCTTTCCGAATTAAAATTAATGCATTTTTGGCATAGTTATGAGTTTTTTAAATTTTGATATGTCGAACAAGATTACTAAAATTGAATAAAAAAATGCTATAGTTATTTTAGTTTTGATCGTTTCCGATACTCATCTATATTTTAATTGCAAACTAAAAGGGTATAGAATCTAAGGCTTTCTGAAGTTACTTTTATTTCTTGTTCATAAAAGATTAGAATGGAATTCCTAAAACTATGTACACATTTTGACTCACTACAAATTTGTCTATATTTCTAACTAAGCCTCAGACGATGGAAAAATGCAAATGATTAATGGGAAATGATAAGATAATAAAATAGGGTTGGGTTGCTATTAATATTTCCTTTACCCAAACTTGTATACTTTAAACTGTAATCTTTATTAATTGAGGAAAAAAAAAGATTTTCCCGCCGTCGGCTTTACGTTCTTTGATATTTTCCAAGTTTCTCAGAGTGTAAAAGGGGCTCCGGTGTTTATTGTTGTTGCCGCCGCCTCTCTCTTATTTCTGGAGATCATGCCACCAGCAACTGCTATGTATGTACATATATATGTACTCCGATTTCCAGTCAGACTCCGATTTAAGCCAGGGCTCCGACTCCCGATCCGAATCCGAGAAGTCCGACTACTTGGCGGCGGCTCGACTCAAGTTTTATTTATGCGAAATTCGTTGCCAAGCGAACGGCAAAAGCCAAAGCGTCTGGCAGTGCCAGTCAACTCCGTTGCCACCTCCATTTCCATGTCCAAGCATTCCGCGACGTCATACGATTTTCAGTCTGAGCTGAGCTGCATTCCCGTAGTGTGTGCTCCCCCGTCTGCTCCAACTCGGCTCCAGTCCTCCACTCTCTTGCACTCTCTGAAGACGAAACCTTTTACTTTCCTCTGCATTCGCCTCTAAAGACACTTGAAAAAATTAGCATGGATTAGGATACTCTTTATTAAATTAGAAATAACAGAATGCTTTTTCATGGGTCTCTCAAAATTAGTTAGTTTTCTTAAATCAAAGTTAAATTGAAACTTTCGTTTTTCCTTATGTAAAATATTAAGAATATACTTGAAGAAAATATTTTTGCCTATAAAAAGTATGTATTTAAATATTTCTAAAATATTGTAGATAAAAACTCTTTAATATATACTTGAAAAATTTATTTTAATACCCAAAATGTAATATACTTTAGTAAATTAAAAGCATTTGTGTCAATTCTGGACTCATTCGCTTTCCTTCGTATTCCGTTTAAAAATTACCTCAAGTGTTATATTACATATCTTGTAAATTACAACATTTTTTCGTCAAGTGTATACTCTTTGCCTGTTCTGCTTCCCATTCGTAATTATTCCATTTTATGCTTACTTTTTGTACCGGCCGGCGTTGTAGGAGCATGAAACGAATGGAGCGCCACTTGAAAGACTGTAACTTCGGCGGCGGCTCTTGTGAAACTCGCAGAGAAAACTCAGAGAAGATAGTAAATGCGAAGAGGGAGAGGAAAACCAATGAAAAATGGGAAAGAGAAAACGAAAAGAGCAACAAGTGTCCAATTCTTGGAGTTACTTGCCCTTGCACATTGGTCAGAGAAATTTAGGGAAATTACTTCCAGCACGTGGCAGATAAACATTTGCCATTAAAATAGGATAAAAATGGATTATTTTGTTTATAAGCATTTGATATACATTTCTGCTCTATTTCAGTAAAACTAAGAATTTCGCTATAAACTTTTTAATCATTAATATAATATGTTTAAAGAATAATGGTGTAGTTTAAATCTTTTACTATTGCCTTAAAAGTTATGCTTAATACTTAAAAAACCTTTTTTAAGCAGTCACCAAGTAAAGTATCCTAACTCTTTTTTATTATTTAGCTATTGCCTTATGTATAAACACTTTTTTCACATAAAGAAAACTATAATATTAAAGAAAACTTTTAATAAAAACATAAAAGAAATAATATATAATATGGAAGTCTGGCTAAAATAAAAATTAATTTGATTGTTATAGCTTAATTAATCAAGAATATGTTGCCAATACTTCCACATAAATAAATCAATAACAGCCAGTATTAACTTCTCATAAAAACATCAAATAGAGTGATAAATTAAGAAGTATTTAACATAAACTCAAAAATGCAGTAGGGGACTCACAAAAACGGTAGACCCCATGAAACTGTTTTGAAATATTAAAGAAACCTTCAACTTGGCAAAAAACAAAAAATCAGACTTTAAGCGCAGTGAGTTAATGCCAACGAATGTCAAAGTTATAAACAAAATGAATAACGCTGGGTCATGATAATTACCAAAAACTTAAAGGTTAAAAGCTGTTGATGATTGAAAGTGGGACCACTTAACTGGCACACCGTTAGATGAATTGCTATCTCATTGGAGATATAAATAGATTGTTATAACTAGGCCAAATCCATAGATAACCGACCATAAATGCATTTTCACTGTAAATCAAACTATTTTCCTCCCCTTAATCAAATTCTAATAAAGGCTGAAAATGCTTGGCTGTCGAATAAATCGTTGAATAGGTATTGTAAAGGGGGGATATAGGTCGGAGGATACTCAAATAATACAATTTGGCCAACAATTATTTCTGAACAGCTAAAAATAAAGACAGCTAAATCGAAGGAAGTCGAAATTGACATCTCTCATCCGGAGTCCTTGACAGGTTTAATTGCTGTTGAACGAAGGAACGTTGATTCCCACGAGGAAGTCTGTGTTGATTTATTTCCAAATCGAACTGAAACAAGTTTCCACAGCTTCTGTACAATACATACTGTCAGACCATCTTGGTTGGCTCTCCCGGTCTTGGTCCGGATTTTTATAATTAACTTGGCTAATTATGCCTGGCATTTGCACGTGCTCTGGATGCAACTGCTGTTCGTCCCTGATGCAAACTTCTTCTGTCTCTGGCTCTGCCTTAATTACAAAGGCATTTGCCATTATGTATAATTATGCCGCACAGAAGAAACGCTTGTCTTCAGTTTTTTTGTAAAACTGGTTTCCTACCCGCACTTTTCAATGGAAGCCAACCAAGTGTGTACTGCAATTGTTCGTGTTCAAGTGACAAATTTCATAAGCGAGGCATGCAAAAACACAGGTAGGCTGTAGTCTGTTAACGCCTCGCTGTTAACTGTATCTCAATGCTGGCCTAATGAGTGCTGAGCAGTCAACGAGGTGTGATGGTCAAACCCAGCGTACCTTTTTCTTTAACCTTCGATTTTTGTTCCCCTCAAATTTCTCTGTATTTTTAATTGGTTTCGTGTTTTCTATTTCGGGTTTCAATTAAAATATTACGCATACGCAGCGGTGTACGTTCACAGCTGTTGGCCGAGCCAAAATTCAATTACAAGGCGAACGAAAAAAAAGGTGGCGTGATGTTGGCTAGCAAATTAGACATGCGCAAAACAGTTGAGAAAATTCCCACCCAAGAGGCTAATAGAAATTCCGAATGCATTAGAAATTCCTGACGGGGAAGGAGGGAGGAGGGAGGAGGAGCTATGTCTATGGCGCTATAATGGACCCATCACAATCACAACAAACATGCAATGACGTTGGCGAAATTTCTCAAAAACAATTCAGGGGAACATCATTCATTGTTACTGAGTCACAGTGCCGCCCAATACAGCTTTTGCCGCAAAACAGATGTGTGACTAATTGTTGCTATTGTTAATAATGTTATTTTAGACGTTTGTTGCTGGTTTTTGGTCGACGTTATGACGTTACCGATCAGGCCACCTTTTTTCCCAATAAACAGAAACACAAACAATAAAAAAAACAACACACTCTCGTGTATCTCTTTACTTGAGCAACTTTTAAGAGCAACTTTGGTAGTTTCTCTTACGTATATTTTCATCTTAAAAGAGTTAAAAGTCAAGTGTTTTTAATGGCTTCAAAAGTAACGATCCCCGAAAATGAGAGCCCACTGTATCCAAAGCACAATGTTCAACTCTGCTTATACAATTATTTGTTGATTATTCTTTATCATAATTGCATAGGTACCCACTTTTTATCAAGTCTTATCTTGGTAGCAATGGAAAAAAGCACGCGAAATTATTTCTAATGTTTAGATAAAAATTTGGTGAGAAAATTATGTATAATAAAGTTCGAAGTTGAAGAATATTTGTACTTCCCGTGGTTATTTTAAGACTAAACACCTGACTAAGTTACTTATTTTAGTGCTAGTCATGCTTAACTGTTATAGTTAGTTTATTATGACATATACTAAGCAGTCATTAGATAAGATAATTGATAAAAATTTAATTAAAATAAAAATCATTATTTTCTACTTATATAATAGATAGCGGGATTTTAAAAATTCATAAAATTTAAATGAGTTGCTTAGTAAAAAACTATACAAATATTTTTATGCTACTCATGCGCAATAATAAAATTTATAGCCAAAACAAACCCACGTAACTATGACTTACTCGTAAGATAAGAAACTATATTAATCTTCCGCTTAATTCGGAAATTAATTTATGACTCAACTGAAATCTATACTGGTTATAAAAAAATCTTTAATGAGCCCTTGAAAAAAAAATGAACATAAACATTACGTAGCTATAATAAGGCCTGGAAAATCGTAGAATTCCTAGATAATAATTTCTAGTTTAGCACAGGTAGTTATCTGCGTTATCTGGAGTGGTTAGCAGGTGCTTTTAGATAAGGTTCATAGAAGGGCCAACAAATGCGTAAAAAATTATATTTACTACGAAATTGATTAATGAGTACTTTAATAAATTTAATTTTGTTCAGTTCAACTAACAAAAGTTATTTCTGAACTTTGTAACACTTTACAGTCCCCTAAATTTGTTTGACTTAATGATCAATATAAAAACATTGTAATTTCCAAAATAAACAATGTATAACAAATAAACCAAATGATGCTTAAAGTTCTCTCACAAAAATTCCAAGAAAGTTAATAAACTTAAAATCAGCTAGCAAACGCTCAATTAAGTAAGAGAACCTTGCCCATCTCTAATTAACTTTAACCAGTCTGTAAATACTTTATGGTCAAAACAGATATGATTAAATGCTTTAAACCAATGCGTAACATTTCTTATCAACACAACACGTACACCACAAACGCCTGATGGGTGCAAAGTTCTTGTTATCAGTCCTGTTGGGTTTCCTTTTCTTTTATCTAAATGAACTGGAAATATTTTTGCTAATTTGCGTAATTCTGTACTGTTATTGCTGTAGTTTTATTAGAAACTAACCGATCCACAGGAGATTAATCACCAACTATTAATAGGATTGCAAACGTAATCAAATCGGGGGCATAAGGCTAAGGAACGGACAACAAAACAACATCGACAACAACCTTTCGGGCTATTAATAAAGCATTTATATTGATTTGAACTCTGATTGACTTTTGCGCTGATTTCTGTTTATTATTTCGCCCTCTTGGCCAACCAAGACGGACCTCCTGTCACGCCCTTTGCTGTCATTGAATTAATGGTGCGAAATTTTCATGTGAAATACTCTGTTGGTCAGCAAAGCCCAGCGTTTTCCTCTCAATGATTGTGAGTGTGATTGATTCGATTCCTTGGGCGGGAGCGAGGAATAAAAGAATAAGGCGAAAGTAAAGCTGTTCAATGAACTCCGCATTAAGCATTTAATTGGCCCGTAGCCTGTTCTGTTCTGTTCTGGTCGGCATTTGTGATTCTGTCAATCAAATTGGCGGCTATGAACGTTGTTCCATCTGAACACGCCACGAATTATTGCCCCACTGATTTAATTTATATTAAATATCTACCACAACGAGAATCGAGTGAATTGCCGTGGAAATAAATGTTTGGAAAAGGAAATTGATATTTCCCATATTCGATATGCTTCTCCACGAATGAATGAATCCTATTTAATTTCAAAAAGGGAAATATTTATATAAATAAACGGGGAAAGCTTTGATTTTCTTACAATTCTTTTTTTATACTAGGAACAATCAAACTACATTTTCGTTTGTATTTAAACTATAAAAGTGTCTCTACATTTTATAGAATCCTTTCACTTTCTCGTACAAAATACACTTTATAGTTTGTCTTTAAACTTGATTTTAAGCTACCAATCATTAAAAATAATTAAATAAGCTATAAGGAAACCCTTAAAAAGTATCTTTACGCCTTTAGGCAAATCCTGGATTGCACGTTCTATCAATTATTATTAATAATTAACTTAACGGATGCTGAAATCCAATGGCACTTCCGCTTTAGCCTTAATTTAAGATACACAAAAGGATAGTTACACACCTTTGAGAATTAAAATTAATGTAATTATCATATGAAAGCGATAGCTCTTATGGGCGAATGCACTCTGCACGTGACCATTAAACAATTGCCATAAAAAAACAACAAGAAGAACACTTTTCTGAATGCGCAAATAAATTGCTTTCTAAAGTAAATGGAATAAATTTCCCTTTTTTTTTTGAATGCTTGACGTATATCTAACGCCTAATCTAAACGCTGCCAAATGGATTGGATGTGGAATTTTCTTTTAATATTTATTTCAATTAAGCTACTAAACGACTCACTTAAAATGCAAATTGCATTGCACATTTACATACAGATTTGTCTACAAAAGCAATTGCAATTTCTGAGCTCCAAACAATTTCACACACATTTCACACACACCATGGCATACTCATACATACGTGCAGCTGGGGAAGCAGAGCAAACAAAACTCTTTTCATAAATTCAAAATATGTGCGCACATTTTTAATAATTTACGGCGACTAATAAAAAATTTTCAGCTCACACACACACACACACGAGAAAGAAAAGAGCAAAGCATCCAAAAAGGGTGAAAAATACAAATACAAAATGGCGGGAAAATGCAAAAGCGTGGAATATATTTGAGTAAATAAATATACAAGAATGCATAAAAGGCATTCAGAGGGCAGAGAGCAGAGTGCAAAGGCGCTGCACGAAGCCAAAAGACAATAAAGAGATGCAAAGGGAAATTCTTTTCCTTGCATGCGCCGAATTTTCCATATTACACACGCACAGCAAACATCATTTGGATCTGCAGTTCATATACACCATATGTGTTTGTATCTGAACGTGTGTGCGTGTTAAGGGCATTGCCTGACATTTCTGATTTTGTAATTAAATGCGAAGGCGTGTGAAAGAGTGGACCAGCGACGAAAATTTGAAAGATGCATATATTAATTTTTATACCCTTTCAGGGTATTTTAGTTTCAGTCAGAAGCTTGTAAATTTGTGAAGGAGTCATTTCCGACCCTATAAATCATATATATTCTTGATCAGAATCAATAGGCGAATCTATTTAGTCATTTTAGAACAAAAAAAAAAATTCAATAATTTTCCAAAAATTTGAAATTTTTTAAGGGGTTACATCATTAAAACTTTTAAAAATTGACAAAAAACTGAATTTCTTAAATCTTAAAAATCTGTATGCAGATTTGTTAATAATATAAAAACTAGCACTGAACAACTTTCCGAATTGAAATGAGTTAGTTTTTGGCAAAGTTATGAGATTTTTAATCTTTGATTTTTCGAAAAAATTGTCATAGATAAATATTGATTTAAAGAATGCGATTTCCGTTTAATCTTATAATTCAAATTGCAAGAGTAAATAAACTTCGGCTTTCCAAAGTTAGTTTCCTTTCGTATTTACTTTTCAACTTACTTAGCAACTACAAAGTTGATCACATAAAGTAAAGAGTATATTAAATTATTATTATTATTAAGCTCGTGCTGCTGTTCTTAAAGTTGTTAAGCCAAGTCTCTAACTCATTATCATTTGCTTAAATCAACCCTTTCGGTTATTAAAACTTATATTTGGAAAATTCATACGACACGTGCCAAAAACGACCTATTGAATTGACAAAAGTTCAACAGGTCGAATGAGTAATATTCATATTACGTATACGTAATACTTGCCAAATTGCGTGCTAAGCAAAAAGAAACACATGAAAAGTATACTTTATTTTTGCTGCAATACATACAAAGTAAAATTACAAATATCAGTACTCTGCTTATAAAATTAGACTTGTATTTAAAACAAAAATTATTAAAGTTACTGAAACAATATAACATAATAACTCCAAATTTGTATTTAAAAATAATAAATATACTACAATATTTTTTTTATTATTATTATATCATATTATATTATATTCTATTATATTATATTATATTATATTATATTATATTATATTATATTATATTATATTATATTATATTATATTATTTATATTATATTATATTATATTATATTATATTATATTATATTATATTATATTATATTATATTATATTATATTATATTATGTTACATAGTATATTATACTTTATACTTCAATATATTAAATATTACCGATTAAGGTCCACCTTTGATCCTGTGCGTGTGTGATTCTTGCCTTCTGTGTGCATGTGCCCGTGCGTGATTGTGTCGGTGCCTAAGCAATTGTCAATTTGTGTTAAATGCGCGCAATTAAACGGTAAATGGGACACGGATAGACACAGTCACAGATCCAGGCACTGCCACACACACACACAAAGAGAAGACAAGAAGATTCAAACTTGCGACACTTTAGGCATAATGGCGGCACATTAACCCAAGTCAGCCTTAGCATACATGCTAATTGAGCTTGCGATAAACACGGAAAATAAAAGACAGATTAGGTCGACCGAGTGAAATGTCAAGTTGCCCGTAAAGCGATTGATGAGGCAATCCAATCCAATTCAATCCAATCCCTATCCAAACTTAGCACTTTCCAACTATGTAGCTGCCATCAAATTCTCGCTTATTAATTTCCGGAAAACTTTCACTCTGCCCTTTCAGTCATTTTGGGTCCTTTTGTGGTCCACCACCAGCACCACAAAGACAAACACCCATTCCAACCCCATTTTTGGATATATATATCTAGATAGATAGACATGTGTAAGCGCGCCGCCCTTCGGCTGGATTTCATTATTTACAAGTTTTTGTTTATTGTCAAGTCTCGGCTTTCATTAAAAAGGGTTTTACGGCTTGTCAACAGACGCCTTCCTTGGCAACTCCCTCTCAACACCTCCTCCTTCCTCCTGCGTCTCAGTGTGTGCTTAACGAGCCAAAGTTTTCAACTTAAATTTTAGTTATGAATTTTATTAGGCCCACCCGGGGAACGAACGACCACCGACTCCGCTCGTGTTTAATTATAGTCTGTGGCTAACCCGAGGATTCCAACTTAATTAATTAATATGCATTTGATTCCTGCAGCGGCCAGCCTGTCCAACTTGTGCGAGGAGAAGCAGTTCCAGTGCTCCTCCGGCGAATGTATCCCCATACGGTTCGTGTGCGATGGCGACTCGGATTGCCGGGACCACAGCGATGAGCGACTGGAGCAGTGCAAGTTCATAGGTGAGTGTACACTGCACAAAAAAGTTGTCAAATAATTAATTTAATTAGTATATATAATACTGAAATAAGAGAACGATGAATGGATGATATATTTACTGGAGGTATAGGATATAAAATTACCTATACAAACACTACACCATCAGTATTAAATCTCTGTTTAGTCTCTTAAATAAATCTATCCTCAATATCTTCAATCTTTCGCTTTAATAAATAATAATTAAAGCAAAACGAATGTGTGACAGAATTTCTATTGAATTTTAAAAATTCCTGCTGACTCAGAGATCTTCGTACAGCATCCTGCACTTGTGCCAATAAATAAAGTGAAATTCCCTAGCTCTGCTCTGGCTTCACAAGGCTCTTTCTTCCCAATTCCCATTTCTTTTCAATTTTTATCTTTCCGGCTCTGATTAGGCCTTCACTTCAACTGTTGTCTTATTCAAATACACTCGAAAGGTTGCACAAAAACCTCACACTTGAAAGAAATCAACAGTAACAGCCACAGAATGTATTTTCAGGACTCCCTTTTTGTTGCTGTATATTTGCAGAAGCCTTTTGAAGGGAAACTTTTGCTAGCACCATTTTTTTCCTACTCCTTACTGCTGGTGTTGTTTTTTATTTATTTTGTGTGTGTGTGTGTGTTGGCCATGGCCAAGAGTAGGAGATCTACAAAGTCAAGCGCTGGCTACGGGAATTGAGTTTGGTATAGGGATTTACGGCAGGAGGCCAGGACGAGGCCAGGACGCAGATGTTGCCGGCGAGAACTACGTGCGCTCCCGCTCTAATCTGTTGTCAGTCATTTGTAGTTTTTCAATTTGGAAATGTCACAGAACTAACCATTTACTTGGTCGCTCGGCCAAAGCCCTCTGCGTGTGCTGTTTGCTTTCGTATTGGTTTTGGTGTTTCTGCCATTTGTTTGGCTTCGCTGTTGGGTAAGTAACAACTGGCTGTTTATTTAGTGTCATGTAGGCAGGACTCGAAAACACACCACTCCGCACTCCATTCCCTGCAACTGAATTTATTTTCGTTAAATTTTGTAAATTCCCTCCATTTCTTTTATTAGGCTCTGCATTTAATTTAAGTTTCGGTTAGCAGACCAGTCTGTTTCCAAACACGGTTCGTTGAGCTCGGTTGCCAGGCTTTGCCAAATATTCAACGTTGCCTACTTTCAGGCAGCAGTGCTTAAAACACTGCCAGCCGTAAATATTGGACATGTTGTGGCGGTTGTTAAGTCTTTAAGCACAACAGCACCGACCGAGCTGAGCCTCAATTATATACAGTATATAAGACTACATGTTGTAGAATATATATGTAGTATGAGATAGAGGGACTTAAGTCCGCCCTGGTACTGGTGCATTACCAAGACCCGGGGCAAGTCGAGTGAAGTCTTTTTCGGGGGCACTGCAAGCAAGTCAAGTGCAATCCAAGTAAGCCATTGCATCATGCTAACCTAGAGTTGGCTTGGACCATAGATAAACTGGTTCGGAAGTGCTCAAAACTGATTGGCTTTAATCGCTCAAAGAGCAAAAGCTCAATGGAACTCTATTGGATTACAATTTAAACAAAACACTTTGAGTGTAACTGACTGCAATATTGCAATATATTAAATTGGTATAAGTAAAGCAATTTGGTCAAGGAAAGCGTTTTAAACTATTATATTGTTTATTAGAGATTTTAGGATACATAGGAATACATTCTGATTAGTATTTAATTGAGTTATCAATTACCTTTTAGTAATTCTTCAATGTAACCATTATCATTTTAGTCAGAAGCTTGAAACTATGTGAAGAAGTCATTTCCGACCCTATAAATCATATATATTCTTGATTAGCATTAAAAACTGAGTCGAAATAGACATGTCCGAATGAAAACTAAATTTTTCCAAAATTTGCTAAAATTTGAAAATTTGATAAGGGGTTACATCGTTAAAATTGTCAAAATTTGACAAAAAATTGCTTTTTTTTATTTTAAAACCCAGTATGCAGATTTGTTAACCTGCTTACGAACGCTTTCCGAATTGAAATGAATGCATTTTTGGCCAAGTTATCAGTTTTTTAAACTTTGCTATGTAGCACTAAATTGTCATATTGATAAATATTCCATTTACGTATATTTAACAAAATGTAACAAATGTCTTCTTGAATATATCCATATTTTATTATCATATCTAAGGCACATAGATATTTCTGTATTTTCCGCATAGTTGCGTCTTGATTTATGTGAATTAAGTGTCAACCGGTTAGACAGAAATCAGCAAAGAGCTTATCAAGTTAATATATATATTTCCTGTGCTGCAAATTTATATTTTTTAAACGGAATTTCCTAACTGAATGCCAAGGAATCACGTTTAATAGAAACTGATTGGATTTCTGCTTAATAAACATTTTTGGACTATCTGTGTAAACATTGAAAAACAAGCTAATGACGGCGGATATAGTCGGGGTTTTTCGTTCTTTTTTTGCTCTAATCTAAAGCTTAAATTGCGCCTCAAAAAGCGGATTGAGTACAGCAAGACCGTGAGCATGGTTCTACATAATTAAAGTTCTTGTGCTCACAATGAGGAAATGCAGTTTAAACTTGACCCACAATCGAGATGAAAACAGAGCACTAAGACCGAAACAGATTAAACCGGATCTCTAGGAAAAATAATATACTTAGTTGGGGTCTTATCAGCACCCATATAGTCGGAGTAAGTCGTCGAGTCTGATTAATTAGACGCCACTTATAGCACTTCAGATTATTTCTAATAGAGTGTTCGATTGGCAAGAGGGTCATGAGGTTTCGTGTTTTATTTTTCCCCGTTATTAGTTGTTTTGACAAATCGCCGACTAATTGCGCACAAATTGTAGCCCTCAATTGGACGGATTTCGTGAGGATTTTAAATGACTCAAACGCCGAGTGAGTGAGTGCAGCTCATCTCATTCAAACACTCACACTCAAACTCAAAGTGAGTGTGCTGTGAGTGCGCACGCCGAGTGTAACTCTTATCAGTCCGCGTGGAAGCTTCTATTCGGTGGAGTCTGCCAAGTGGGGATGGCAGATGAAACGAGGACCAAACTCTGAACTCAGTTTGCGTCGAGCTCTGCAAAGCAACGGACGTGTATGCCAGGATAACGGAGACTACAGGACTCCGAGGCGGCAAAAATTAAAAATAATTTCGTACAGAAATTAAATTGTGAGAAGTGTTTAAATACAAAGTGATTTTGCAACGTGTTACCAAAGAGTTGTAAATATAAAATTTGTAAAATAATTAGTAAATATTTTAGAGATTGTTTAACTACAAAATATTTTGTGCCTAAAAGGAGCAACTTGAACAGCTGTTATCGGCCAGCAAAAATCAATGGCAAGGCCAAATTGGGCCGTCAAACGTTGGCAGACGAACTAAAAACACTTTGCTGGCGTCGCTTTGGCGGTAACATCAAAAAGCAGCAGCAGCAGCAGCTTTTCCCTTAAAAACGGAAGCTTTCCTCACTGACTGAGTGTGTGTGTGTTTTTCCGCTTCTTGTGTTATTTTTTTCACGCTTCTGCGCGCCACTTTTTATTACATTTTCATTTAGCTCTTTTAACGCTCTTACAAAACGCTCTTGCAGCCGCTAAGATAATTTGGCTTTGTTTTGAATCGGATTACTGAACTTGAGATGAAAAGTAAAGCAAGGATTCCATGCTGTATATTAAATTTAATTAAAAATCCCTATTAATATTCACACATTACCCTTTCTTGCTCTGTTGCATTTTAATCCGCCATAATTGTTATTTATATATTTTTATTATATTCCATTTAAAATTCCCTCGCGTGTGAGAATTTGTGTCATAATTCCCGTTGACATGTCAAAGTGCAAAATTGAAATTAAATGTAAACACTCGTCGGCGGCTTAACTCTCAGCTCCCTTTAAAAATAATTGTCCATGTCCGTGGATTATGTGTAGTTGTGATAATACGAGAAAGCACATTAATAATTATTCAAATGAAAAAAAATCACAAACAGGCAGGCATTGAAAAAGTGGCTTAATTAAAGCATTAAGTGCGAAAAATGATGAAAACGTGAGAAACAAAAAAATATATATATCTCAATATGCAGTGCAAACAATGAAGGCAATAAATAAAATATAATTAAGTATATAACAATATATAAATGAGAGCTTATAAAAGAAAAAAACACATAATGTTCGATGGCTTGGAAGGCCGAATAAAGAAATTATCAACACACAAAAAGAGTTAAATTTTGAAAAACCAAATATTTGTATAATAAAAAATAGAATTCAAATGAAAACAAAATTTAATTCAATTGCACAAATTAACTAAAACACAAATAATGCTGGCTCAAATATATTTCTAAATTGAATTATAGTGAAATTAACCATTTATAAATTATATAAACTACACATAAATTCATTTTAAATGCTTGAAATAATAATCACACCAATTAAACTGACATTTTCCCGGGCATAAATTTTCATATTGTTTATGAGCGGAAAACTGTTGCCTACTTTTGAGCTGCTGCCATTCGCCGCTGCTGACGTTATGATGATGTTTCCGGCTGCCATTTTTGCTGCTGGCCGACCGACAGACCACTTGGCTGCCATTTAAAATAATTACGATTACACATACTCACAGTGCAAATATTCACGCGACAGCAACAAAACCCGAATAAACAGCAGTTTAATTTAATAATTTAGCCGAGCACTTTTGGGCCAGAAAATTATCACTTACGCCCGCCGAGTGTCAGAGTTCCGAAGAACCGACATGGGACCAATACGCAGCAGCATCCTGTGCTGCTCCTTCCTGCTTCTCGTCACAGGATTAATGCCGCTTCAGCCTGCCAGTGGCACCTCACTCTTTATACGACGGGGAATGGGTGAGTGGGCCTCGATCTGATAATACCAGGCAAATCAGATTAGTAACAAGATAATGATAAGAAAGCCGCTTAGTTTATTTATTTAGCTAGACGGGGTTTATTTTTATTCATATAGCATAGCAATATTTACTTGTATAAATAATTAACA